CAAGTTATATGTAATTAGCAATTCAAGTCCAAATTTACTAATATTTTCACAAATTCATGAACTAACTTATATGGTCATACACAAGCAAAACACAGAATTAGTTATTCATTATAGATGGGCTATGTAAGATTTATCTAAGCAAACATAATTATAGTCACAATTATGTTCTCCAGCACAACTAATTTTTTAGTTTTATCACTTAACTAAGATGTGGTCAATCCTAGCTCTAGTAATTTAATGGTCACTAAATCACTAGGTAAACAAGTTCATGTAATTTAATGGTTACTAAGCTACACTTAACTTGAACTAAAGCAACAAAGAGGAACACTTTAACTTGCTAGGTAAGTTAATTAAACACAAGTTCCAAACCAACTTTTATAAATCCATAACCTAATAAACTAAACCATAGTTATTAGGGTTTCATCTAACTAAATGAAAGTCTACTAAATTAGCTACTCAGGGCAGTAATCAAACACAAAAACTCAATATGAATAAAACTAAACATGATCAAACCGAATAAATTGATGATGTTTTCTGCTAGATCTCTTCAAATCTTGAGCTCCACTCGTTTCCTCCTCTTTTAAGGGTTTTCCAGAGGGTTGTTTTCGTAAAACTTCTTCAGAAAGTCACCTCCAAGTCCCCCAATTCGTCATAATGCTCGAATATATATACTTGCCTAAAATCTGGCCACCATGTCTTGGTAGTGGCACCACATCATGGTCCTCGTTTTTATCCTGTATTCCTCAAGCCAACGCCAAGAATCACGAAGATTCCATTCACCAAGTCGTGGTGGGATTACCACGTTGTGGTGGTTGGAAATCTGGCTTTTCTCAAAACTCGAAATTCGTCCAAAATTATGTCTAGTTTTCAGATCATTTTGAATCGCCTTAATCGGAGTTACAAGTCATGAAATATGGTCAAAATACCGACGAGGGGTCAAGCTGTCCAACAACATCCTTCTTGTGTCTTTTTCTTGCCTAAGCTCACATTTTCCTGCTTCCAACTTCCATATTGCTTCCAACCATGTACTTTATGCTACATAACATATATTAAACATAGTAAGTATTTTTGTTCTATAATAAGCATAAGTATAGCTAAAAATATTAAGATATGATGTAAAAAATTTATGTAGATATGCACATATCATGCATTCTACATCACCAAGATCGGTTTTTCACATAGTCGTTGACTCTTCACTATTTATTTTTTGCAGGGGTTCTAAGATGGTTTACTTACTTCTTTATGTTGATGATATAGTTTTGACGGATTCATCTACAGAACTACTTCAACACATCATTTCATTTTTAGCAACAGAGTATTCCATGAAGAACCAAGGTGATTTATCATACTTTTTGGGCATGACTGCAACACAAGATAATAAGGGTATATTCTTATCCTAACACCAATACGCGTTGGAAATATTAAAGCATGCTAACATGATGAAATGCAACCCATGTTGCACACCAGTTAACACAGAATCTAAATTGGATTCTTCTGGTGAGCAGGTTACATACCCGACTCTCTATCGTAGCCTTGCAGGTGCTCTCCAGTATCTCACATCCACTCACCCAGATCTATCATATGCAGTTCAACATATATTCCTATTCAAGCACGACCCTCGCGAACCTTACTTTCATGCCCTCAAGTGCATTTTACACTACGTCCGTGGTATACTGGACTACAGGCTTCAGCTTTATCACTCCCCTACTACGAGTCGTATTGCCTATCTTGATGCAGATTAGGGGGATGCTCTGAAACACGCCGATCTACCAGCGGTTAATGAATATTTTTGGGTGACAATATCTTATCTTGGTTATCAAAACGCTAGCATACAGTCACTTGTTCTAACGTAGAAGCCGAATACCATGGCGTGGTAAATGAAGTTGCCGAAACTAGCTGGTTATGAAATTTGCTCCGAGAGCTACACACACCTCTCCCTAAGGCAACAATTGTCTACTGTGATAATGTCAGCGCAATTTACTTCTCTACTAATCATGTTCAACATCAACGCACCAAGCATATAGAGATGGAATCCATTTTGTGTGTGACAAGGTTACAACTAGTCAAGTCAAAGTTTTTCATGTCCCCTCCAGTCTTCAATACGCAAATATCTTCACCAAAGGGCTCCCTACATATATTTTCACCAAATTTAGGACCAGTTTGAGTGTTTGCTCTAGATCTCCCGCTCAAACTGCAGGGTGTATTAATGTATATATGTATTGTATTGTATGCTTATAGCCTATTAGATTGTTAGCCCACTTGTAGCCCATTTATTATGCTCTCTATTTGTATTTATTGAGGATGTATCGTACAATCCTATTATGGGAAAATATTGTTATTCACATTGCTGACGTGTGATTGGTCTAAAGAAAAAAAAGGAGATGGTTGATTCATCGATCTTACGGTGTATCTGAGAACTTTTCAGAAAGGCGAAGAAGCATGTTCTTGACCTGCATAGAGAGGAGAGAAAGAAGGTTTTACCATTTTTAGCATATCAAAATCAAAGAATAAATTTTTTTAACAGATCAACATAACTTTAAAGAAAAAACTTAATACCATTTTTAGCAGATCGACAAAACTTTATGCCTCTGAAAACAAACAAACAAACAAACTCAGGACCTAGTATTCAAATTAATATGGTATAATAAATGAACATCAAATAATTGGTAGTTGAATAAGTATTTTTATTAATATAAACGAGATAAATCATTTGAACTAGTGTTTGGACCGCCCACGTGCTGCTGCGGAAGCCCAATATGTTCAAAAACGCATCTCGACATGGTTAAGGCATTTGGGAGAAATTTATTACAAATGAATCATAAAAGTATAAAATAAGGTTTCGAAGAAAAAAAATTATGTATGAATGATACATACAAAATGAAGTTTGAAAATATATCTTAAACATATTAGTCATCATTTAGATAAAAAAAAGTAATATTAATAAAAATGAAAAGTATAAAAACAATTATGTAAGAGACAAAAAGATATAACTTTATATTAGTAAGAAATCAAAATTATAACTTAAAATTACCAATAATTTAAATTTAAAATTATGAAGATAAAAACTGTATAATCAAAGTTATTTTAGGGTAGAAAATATAAGGGAAAATGACACAAATGCCCAACGAACTTTCTAGGGTTTATCATTTTAGTCCCTAAACAATTTTCGTGACCTTATGAGGGAACGAAATCGTTTTTGTCGGGTCGATTATATCCTTTTGGCCAAAGTAAAGGGGTCACCTGGTTACCTCTTTGATACATTGATATTTATTGACCAATTTTCCTATATTGACTTTGAATTTTCCCATAAGTTGACCCACATATCTCTCTCTCTCTCTATCTATCTCTCTCTCTCTCTCTCTCTCTCTCTCTCTCTCTCTCGTCTTCTTCCCCACTGCACCCTTCTTCTCTATTTTCTCTCTTCCATTCAGAGAACCTGCAACCCAAAATCAAAAAGGAAATGCATTCCCCATTGTTGTTATACTCGTTTTTGTTGCATCGTCATGACCAACAAAACAAATTCAATTATCAACCCTTCGACTTTGAATTCTTACGGATGTTACTTTGAGTTGTATGTTGTTCATCGGAGGTGCCTTTGATTGTGAGGATACTTTAACTTACTGCCGGTGTTCATGACGTTTTCGACATCGTTCCGTTGACAACAGTGAAGACCACTTCAAATCCAGCAGGAAGCTTAACAACCTCATCGTCGTGGCTCATCCACCTGCTTTTCACCGATATTTTTACCCTTGAACAATCCACCATAATCTTTCACGACCTTAATCATCATCTCCCCATACTCTTGCTTCTAACCAATCGCTACTTGCCCACCCAAATTTTGCACAATCAACTGCAACTTGTAACAAATCCCCAACACAATGATGCCTAATTTTTCAACATACTCCACAAAACCATCTGGTAAACAACATGCATTTTTGCATAAACTGAATGGGGACCGCCAAAAACTAGATTCACAAAGTAAAAAACATAAATTGGATATGCGAGATGGAGATTGAGTGATTGAGATTTTCATTTTGCCCAACTCAAGCCTCCAGTGTACTAACCAATGCTTCTCTGTGTATTATAGTAATCAAGCAACTTTAAATTAACAAGGATTACAATCAATGAACCAGGCTTCTCTCACAACTCCCTCTTCTTTAATCGATTGTTGGAAAAAGATCAAAGGTTTAAAGAAGATCTGATTTTCCACAAATTATCACTCGTCCATAGTAGCATTAAGAGGCAATAACTGAATTGATTAGAATGGAAAAAATGTCGATCGGAGATTGAATGAGGGCTCTGACTAATTTTTTGGGGTTGTTCCATCGAAGAAAGAAGAAAGTAGTAGATAGCAAGCTTGAAGAATGATAGTCCGACGGAAGAAAACTTGGTAATTAAGCAATTTTCCAAATAAACTTTTATCCCCTGTTTTTTCTTCTTATCTCATGTTCGGTGCACAAGGTGCATGAGAGTAAATCATCTCCTATGATAGTGTGATTATCTATGGTAACAGAGAAATGGTCAAAATGTGATATTACTTTCCAATATCTGATGTGACAATTTTTAACTATTTGTCAATAAAACCGGGGAAAAGAGGTGAAGATGGTTAAATAAACAGGTTTCCTACTGCTTCGTTATCTTATTAGGCAAAAAAATAAATTAAATGGTTAAATGGGTAAACACTAAAAACATTATAGGGTCTATATGTCATTTTCCTATAATATAAATGTGAAAAGTTTACCATTATAAGAACTATTTCCAAATAAAATCTTATTTGCATTTTGTTAAAAAAAATCTTAAAAATTATAATTGGATAGGAATTTAGTAATTTTGGATATGAAAAAAAGAAAATTCCAAATTAACAGTAGGATAAGATTTCAAATCTAAAAACCAATACCCTTAGCCAAGATTTTGAAAACAAAAATGGGATAAAAAATTAAAAAATATTACCTCAAAGAGAGGAAAATAAACAAAACATTCAAATAAAAAACTTATAAATGTTAGAATCTTGATAACTGAAGCGAGCAAAACAAAATGAAAACGAAAACGATACTAAGGATGAGACCGATGGCAATACAAGTACATTTTCTGGAACTCTTTTGCAAGTCTTTTGTTTCCACCAATTGATCTATCCCACGTCGGACAAATGAACTTGCATGGGCCACATGACTCTCGATGTCGTTCAGTTGTTGTCCTTGAGCCTCAACTAACACAGCCATGTCCAAGAAGATCTGGTGTAGTTCGATCAGATTCTTCTCTATTTCCATAATTGCATCGTGTCTTTCTTGGATTTCGGAGATCGTGTCCACGATTTCACCTCGACCCTGTTCCTGGATTGCTTTCTGAACAAAATCTTCTGCTTTTCCACTAGCTATCAAACTATCAATTAACTCGTCATTGGGTTTCTCACCGGTGATGGTGAAGTATCTTCTCCCCATAGTCTCCTTGTACTCATCGTTGATTTCAACTCGTAACGCCTGAAAGTCATCCATCATGATCTTGAGCTTCTTACCCAGACCACCGACGACGGATGTCCGGGTCCGGTCAGCCGACGACCCAGGTCCACAACCTGCGATTTTCCGGTGTTCAAGGTTAGACTTTTCAAGGGCTTCTAGCTTTCCCTTGATGTTTTTTGCATGCTTTAACACTTGTGTGAAATTTGAATCCATCTTGGATCTGAGCTGCTTCATCTTACTGGCATTTTGGATCGTCTTGCTCTCTTTGTTTGAATCTTGTAGCTTTTTGTAGAGATTTTCAACAATCATCATGTCTTGTTTCACATTCTCGACGTCGTTGAAGAACTTGTCAAGATCAACTGTTTCATTTTGGACACCACCCCCACCCTGTCCACCCTCTATGTCGTCAAGGTATGCTTGTTTCTTTAAATCTAGATATTGCTTAAACGAATTAGAAAATAAATCGTTCATGTTGTGTGAAAAAAGAATTTGAGAGGTGGGATTTTGGGTATAGTTTCTCTTCTTTAAAGAACAGATATCTTTATGCAAGATTAATGAAGAAGAAGAAATGTTGTCATGTTGCAATTGAGATATTGGAGAGCCATTAAGTTTTGCAAAGTCAAAGGATATGATTCTTTGCATATAATTGGCGTCCAAAATATTGTGCGGAAAAATACATAAACTATTAATCTGATTTTTTATGTTATTTTTTAATCAAAACTACTTATACTATAAACCATTAATAACGATTGAGATGTCCGTTAAAAAAATGATTGAGATGTGTCATCATTTATTTTGTTAAATCACTCTATATGGTTCTCATAATTTGTCAAATCATATATTTGTGTTGCTAATTCGATCAAAGTTAAGCAGAAATTATGTGAATAACATAGATAACTTTTTATATGAATATGTAATTAAAAATTAAAAATTAATAATATTAAAAACAAGTACGTTTTTATAAGAAAACAACTAATGGTATGAAATCTCAATTGTTTTTATAGAGAGCATGTTCTTGATTTTATGCCTACTACTATGAGCCGGGTGATCAACATAGAACATGGGTAGCACTAGCTAGCGCTTTCAAATTCTTTATTTATGGAAAATTAAGGATCGATTGTGGTGACTACCTTCATCAATAATGTGATATATACTTATGGATCAAAGACATGCCTACAATAACCCAATACAATGAAAAACAGTACGTACAACATATATTATATATATCTAATACCACAATCAAACATGTAACTTGGATCGTATAAACTTTAAAAAGCGAAATTAATTACTAATAGTCCTTTGATGAATATTTCAGCAACCAGATGAGTGGTTGAACATAATAAACAACTAAAATTTGAACAAGAACCATGTCACAGAATGTAAATCAATCTTGAGATACAGGAGTTGCTATAACTAGATAGAGTTTCCAAAGTAAAATGTCAAAATGTTAAAACTAATTAATCTCGCCATTTACAAATGACGTCGAGTTTTCTTTGGATGCACATCATATGTTGGATGGTATTTGTGCATGTCGGGTTCAGTTACAAAAATTAAAGAGTGAAAGGGAACTTTTAATTGCTACTCCAATATTATTATATTGTTATCTTTATAGAACAATAAAATATACTGCTTATTGGTTTTATATATAGTAGCTTTTTGAAGTATCGAAAGTGATACATAAGTATAAAATTCAAACTCAAAGTGTTTATTTGGTTCGTCATGTACAAATTCCAACTTCTGAGCTAGCTAGGCTTCCAATTGTTACGATCATTACTTGTGTTTGTAAGTCATGGGGCTTACATAGCGGTTAATTTGTTGTCATTGTTGCTGCTCTTTTAACGAATCCATTGTAATAAGGTTACACCTTAGATCCCTCTCTTGGATCTGTTTAATCATATTACACAATAATAAATTTAATCAAACATGTCACCTCATGATCAAATAATTAAATAGTGTGAGTCATAAACTCATAATTCATAAGTAACCAAGAAATTAATTATATCTCTTACCTCTAATATTGAAATGACTCTTAAATGCTCTGAACATTCTTGTAGCAATGACTTCTCCAGGGTTACAATCTCTACTAGCTCTGATAGTGTCATAATGGTGTTAGGTGCCTGTGTCATTAATTTACAACAATAACAAAGAGATATTATATGCACTTTGTACACAAAAAATAGTTCCACAACACATAATAATAATACAAATGAAAGAGTACATTGGCATCTAGGAATAGCTTACCATGGGAGAAATTGAAGATAAAACGGACTTGATTGTGTCAACCAAATCTGATGTGTATCGAAAAGCGATTGAAGCTGATTCAAGATCCACCTATACAAAAACCTTGCACATATTAATATTTACTTTATGAATCATATATATGGTTTTCTTGTTAAACTAAAGGATTTGTTACCTTGGCTCCTTCAATAAGGGGTATGCTGCAAACTACGGCGTGTAAATAATCTTTCATCATGGAAACATTCACAATGTGTCCCCTTTCAATGTTTCCCCATGCCTCTAACATTTTGGTCTAGCAAATAGTCGTTGATCATGAATTAAATGAATGTAAAATGTATACTTGATCAAATTATGTTGTATATAGGTAATAGAAAGATTACTGACTTGAGAATGTAGGATCAAATTAAGCTTCATTTCTAGCTTTTCTTTTTGTAGTTGTAACCTCTTTTGTACTACTGATTGTCGCAACTTTTCCAGACTCTCCCTTGTATATAACAAATCATTCTGCAATAAAAGTATATTTTGATTAAAAAGGAGTCTGTATATATAGAACATACGTTCTCGAATCTCGACAATCTATCCTCATATATTTTATGTTTTATAATGATTCAGTTTGAAGGTCAATTGTCAAATAAACTAAAGGTGACATAAATTTGATTTTAATGAAGAAGTGGCATACATACATACCTCACATTGGACAACTAAGTTATCATGAACAACTTGTGCTCTAGCATTCGCATACCTCCACTGCATCCAACTATTCTGCAGCAATCTCAACTGATGAATATCCTCTATTGTATCTTTACCTGATTCCGAACACAAGGAAGAACGCAGCTTTGATCCTCCTTTCTTACCCTTGATCAAATCCAAACCCATATGCAGAAGATTCTTCTTACCCTTGGATGAACTAGGAGGCTTGGAGCTTGAAAATGATGGATATATCGGTGATAATGATCCCGATCTCGATGGGGATGAATCCCATTCATGTGGAGAAGACACAGAATTTGCCCTTTTCATAGCCGTCTTAACCCTACATTTCTTGGGAGAATTATGCATGGATGTTATTGATGAGTTCATGTACTTCGATGAAACTTCATATCCAGAGTTCATAGAACTCAGTGTGGGTGACATATATGACGCTAGAGAGTTTTTCCCAGAACCAAGATCACTTATTTCTGAATTATCGGTGGAAGAATCCAACTTCATCGGATAAAATGGTGATCTCCGGCGAAGAGCGTTTTCATCTACTGATAATCTCCCAGGCTGTATAACCTGGTGCGAGTCAAAAAAATCTGATGACTTCGAAGAGGAAGATGACGATACAGAAGATGAAATGGATGATCTTCCCGGAATAATCTTTCCGATGCCACTGTAAACGGGCGTTCGATGCTCGTTGAAGGAGCTTTTTATACTGGAATGACTCTCCGAATGTCTGAATTCCCTGCAACTTTTTTGTTTACTAAGAAACATCGAGTATCCGGATCTTTTGACACCATCTTTTATTTCGTTACCAAGGTGACCGGAAAGAGTTGTGACAGCGGTGGCGGTGGTGTTTGGTGGATTTTCTTTCTGTGATTTTGATGAGCGGGAAGTAGAAGAAGGCCATAGTCCACGAATAAATCCAGTATGTTTGTGTTTGGCTGATGATGATTGTTTAGGGTTAGAAAGAGTATGGTTATGGTTTGGAGATTGTGGTAGTGATGATGGTGTGGCGATGGGTGAAAGATACCGAGAGCTCACTTCTCGTTCTCGCGACTTCTGCCGGCGAGTTTGATCGGAGATCATGGTGAAGAGTGTGTGTGTGGGTGTGGGTGTGTGTGTGAGTGAGAGATTTGCGTTTGTTGGATATGTTGTATTTGTGAGAAAGTTGAGAAGAAAAACAAACTTTCCGCTCAAAATATGCAGGCTAAAAAGGATACTGCGCCTGCGAGAAGGTGAAATTACTATATTATCCTTGTTGGTCATTGTATCCTTTCCGGTGACAAGGGTAATAATGGAATTTTATGTGATTTGAAATGTGAATTGCGAATGAAAATATAGAACGGACAATTTGAAGTATTGAAAAGCCGGCATCACAGTACTTAAAAATCGTAAACTTTGATTTTTTTTTTTTTTTTTAGATAAAAACATAATATCTAGTAAATGTAAAATCGTAAAAATAATACTTACTAAATTTTAATATGAGATAGATATTCAACAAATGTTTGTTGTTAATGTATGATCAAGTGTTAAACAGATTATACGTATAGTTAGCATATTCTTATCACTTACTAATTAAACGGACATATAAATATTTAATATATTTGCTTTAATTGTAAATAAATGAAACTGGTAACCAGATTTCCAAATGTCTAGTTACACATTTTGTCGAAGTTATGTTTGTACATTACACACTATATTTAAGTATTAATCACCACCTAAAGATTGTTGACATGTCCACTATCAATCTTTTATCATATATCTTATGCATCAAATCATTCTCAATTAAATAGATAACCTAAGTATTTAATGGTTGGTGTTAATATATCGTAAATTTAGATGAAATTGATTCGCATGGACTTACATCTACAGTAATATCAATGTGACACAATTAAAAAAAAAAAAAAAAAAAAAAAAATTTAAAAAAAAAAAAAAAAAAGATCTCACCCTAAAACTCAAAGATGGAAAAGCATGATAGATACTTGTTATTAATCTCTTGTCTCTACAAAAGACATAGACATGAATACTCTCCACATCTTTCATTAACAATAACAACCCTAAAAAGTTCATCGAATCCACTTTTTATCTATCTTATCTCGTGTACTTTTGAAGATTGAGAATATCATTGAAAGGTTTGACACAGAGCCTAATTAACAATTACAACCTTAAAAAGTTCATCGAGTCCTTTTTTTATCAGATTGTCTTGTGTACCTTTGAAGATTGAGCGTGTCATTGAAGGTCATAGAGACTAGAAAGTGAATCTAGTACTTGAATTTTGTCATTAAATCTTGATTAACTACCTAAATAGAGTTGAAAGGGAAATTTAAACAACTGAATCTTAAATTTTGAACGAGGCTTGTCACTTCTAGCTAAAATGGGACATTGTTGTTGGATTTTGAATTACAGTCACCAATTGGAAATTTCATGGCTTGCACACTTTGCCGAATCCCTAGCGTTTATTGGATTGTACTGGTGAATAACATCATCATCATCATCTATTTTTAAAAAACATATGGGTAGTAAAATAGTTGCTTCTTCAATGATTGCTTTTGGGAGAAGAGATTTGCATTAGATATAAGAGTTGGCTTGCACTGTTATCTCTTATAGTTGGTCATCTTTTTTTAAAATGTATATATGAATCTCTACAGTACTTGTAGCCACCATAATCATTGAAAATGAACCTTCTCTTTGGGTTATAGTTCATAAGTTGCACCATTAGAAAGAGTAAATTACACGAATGGTCCCTATGGTTTAGAGTAATTTGCATGTATGGTCTCTAATTTATTTTTTTAACTCGGAAGGTCCATACAATTTGTTTTTGTCGCGCGCTTGATCCATATCTTACCTAAAAAGAATATTTTTTCCCTTAATTTTTTAATTTATTTAAATAAAGTGGGGTGAGGAATGTAAGGTAATGTGAGGTGAAAGTGTTGTTGGGGTGTGTTTATTTAAATAAATTAAAAATCAATGGCAAAATAGTCTTTTTATGTAAGACACCAAACACGTACAAAAACAAACAGTAGGGATCTTCGGAAATAAAAAATAAATTAGGGATTAAACGTATAAATTATTCCAAACCATAGGGACCATTGGTGTGGTTTACTCTATTAGAAATAAATACTTGCAATAATGTTTTGACAGAGATAGTCCAACAAGTGGCCCAGTTATAAAATTTGGGCTGGCCCTTGTCCTTAATGAGTTGTACCATTTTAAAATAAAATGGGTTGTAACTTGTACGGTCGATTATCTCATATTGTTATTCTAAGAAAATTCTAATGTTGATTCTTTGTTTTTCTTTTATGTCAGAAGTAATCAATGGAAGCAATCTTAATATTCTTGTGTAGAGACTCACTGCCTACATCTTAATTCCTCTTAATTACCACATCATCATGGGATATTTCAATACTGTTGCTTGGTCGAATCACAAATAAAAACACACTCTCTATTCTTGTAATCTCAACAAATTTTGTGTTATCGAATCTCATTTTCGTAGTTCTGTCTCGTTTTGTCAGGTGCCTTTTAGGGTATTAAAGGAATCCTTAGGATTTGAATGTATTGAAAAGTATCATGGAAGCCCTTGTTTGATATGATACATTAAAGGAACTTAAAATCCAATAATTTCTAAAATAAAAACCCTTGTTTAATGGATTGTATAAAAAGCCTCCATGGACCCAAGGTTTGAGGAATCCTATCCTTTATCATACTAGATTTAATTTAAAGCTTCCTATTCCCAAATAGTCGGAAAAAATCTCAATGCCAACATTTAAATGTCACAAAGACAACCGATTTTAAATATATTCGAGACATAAATGAGATAGAAAATCCACTCCTAATCCCACTCTCAAGATCACTTCGCCAAACTATTTGTTTTTGTTCAAATACTATTAGAATAACAGTAATTAGTAAACACAAAATTTCAAGTTGCCTACCTTCCATAGTATATTTTTCAAAACAAAGATGAAAAAGAATAACCGAAGATACATAGTTACGTGTGGTCTCATACATAATTTAATAAATTAACATCCAAAAGCACCCATTAATAAAGTATACAAACCAAATCTTACACTACTAACAACTACCCATAAATCTTTAAAAAAAAAAAAAAAAACCCAAATCAATGAAAATTACATCGTTCCAACATAGGATGACTATAATCAACATACTTCTCCCACAAAGGCTTATACTTCTCCATCCCAATCTTCAACCAAGGCTTCAAATTCCCATTAAAATGCAACACAGCTCCATTCCCAATCACCTGTGCATCCACATTCGTATACCCCAACCCCAACACATGCCACCTAGGATCCAAAGCCTCTGTCAACCCATAAAACGTCAGCAGTCCAGGTGGCAATGTCCCAAGCTTCCACAAACTCCTATCCACATTCTTCTCCTGCCAATAATGATAAATCCCAGTCACATTTCTCTTCCTCCACTCCACCAAATCAAACACATTCATCCCAAATGCCCACCCGCATGCATCCGGGTCAAAGTGGGCCCGTATCAACGGATGAGAATAATTCAAATACTTATGATACCTATGAAAAGTCTCTGTACATGTCTCAACTGCTCCATTCACATTCCCATTCAAGTCAACATTAAAAAGACCAGAAATGTCCTTTTGGACAACAACATCGTCATCTAGAAACACGAGTTTCTTCAAAGACGGGAAAACTTCCGGAATGTAGAAACGTAAATGGTTCAACATCGATAGATACTTCGGGTTCCGGAACTTTATTGGGGTTTTCCCTCCATCGTTGCTTCCGGAAAAATAATAATTTTGAGTGTCTGAATCTTGTAGCTGTTTGAGAACAGGGACATAAGAGGAATTTAACCATGTGAAATCTTCAAACTTTTGTACATCAACTGTCACCCCACGAAAACTGTTCATGTTAAACCATGCTTTCATTGCGTGAAAGTTGACTTCATCGGTTACTAAATGGAAGACTAATTTAGCAGGGTTTAAGGAATTTGAAGCGGTTGAATTTATAACTACAGATGTTGCAAGAATGTTGTCTGAAAAGACACAGAAGTGATGAAGATTGTTATCTTTTAGTTTTGTCTCGATTTGGGTTTGACTTTGACTTTGACTTTTTATCTGTAACTCTGAGTGTTTGAACCATTCGGTTGTTAGGCGAACACCAAGACAATATAAACTTTTTGGGACTTCTTCAGCTGCGATTTGACCATATTTGTTGCTTTTTTCCATTACAGAACTTGTTTGTTCTTCAAGATCTTGGATTCTAGCTTTGAGGCGCATGATCATGGTGGCACTATCGTAGTGGAGTTGTTGGGCTTGAAAGAGTAAAAGGGCCATGTCTTTGACAGCTGTCTCGGATTCTTGAAGGGTTAGTGGGGTCCGCCTTAAGGCTGCATTTGAAAGAAGGATTTGGGAGTTTCGAATTTGAGCACTTAGTTCCCATGCGAATTGAAGGTTGTTGCTTTCTTTTGCAATTACAACAAAGGCTTTTGCTAATGAGATTTGGTCATTAAGTTGTCTTGTGATTGAATCGGGGTTTAGCATTTCGGCTGTGATGTTAAGGCCTTCTATCACTTTATCATGCCCATAAGAACTCTTCATGAAAAAGAAAATGAAAGTTTGTTTGTAGTAAGATTTAGACACAAAGGAATTTCATGCAATGGATTTTTAATTTTTAACTACAATATGCAGATGGACATGTAGTATGTAGTATGCCTATGTAGTAACATCTACCAAATGAAAGAGAAAAATCTGATTTTGATTCTTAACTTCTTATTAGAGCACTAAGTTGATCATGCAGATTTGCAGGTGTAATTGGAAGAATGATAGTTAAAAGGTAAAACAGTCATACAGGAGTTCTTTCATTAAAATGTTATAATATTGCAATGTCACCTAACTTCTCAAGAGCTCTCAAGTGTGTAAGTAACAATCTAAATTGATTTTCAGTATGTTCCAATAATCAGGAAATCAATCACGATCACTAAACAATAAGCAACTATATGTCAATTAAGCTAGCGTAGGGGACGGATGTGCAAATCCTATTAGTTAGTTATCGATTTTCTACCACATTTCGAAAGCTACATTCAATTGAAAAGGGCACAAACTATTTGGATTCAAAATGAAAGTGATTTGCTTGGAACATTTGATTCAAATTACCTTAGATAGCACGGATCTGGATCTAGGTTTTGTGCTCTCTCGACTTAACAAAACGATCAACATCAAAACCGCCAATCCTCCACATAATGTTAACCAAAACATACCCGAAAACCGCCGCCTCACTTGCCGCCGAAACTCCGGCCTTTGTCTTCTCATTTTCTCGTATGTAAAGCCTTACAAACCCTTAAATAACATCCAAGTGCAAATAAACAACAAATTCTCACCGAAAATCTAGGTTTTTGAGAAATAAATTAACCAAAATCGGGGATAATGAGGAACTAGGGCACGGTGATTTCAATTGAATTGAGATCGAGATTCGAGAGCTGTGTGATGTAAAAGGGGTTTGATGATTTTAGATCGTTGGGGCTCTTTTGGCATCAATCAAGCCACTGAAAAAACAGTGCGCAGTAGTCACCAGGAGTGGTGGAGAGAGATCTAGTTGACGGTCAACTCTTAAGTTTAGATTAAGTTGCAAGAATAGCGCCTCACGTTTTAGTTAACTTTCACTTTGTATCCTTCTGTTTTCTATTTTTACGTTAACCTCGTTTTAGTAAACATTTATTAACCATTGGTCGGTCTATCTTTTCTTTTGTCAATTATCCCGGGATCATACGTGAAACTTGATTACTTTAAAGAAAAAAAAATTGGTTACGTCTTTTGGTTCAAATTTAATGGATTTCGATGGACCGATCCAATCACCTATTTCATATTGGATTTTATCAACCGATCTAATTCAATTTAATATAAAAATCTACACCGAACTCATCTAATTAGATGTTGGATTGAATCGATTTTATCCATTAGATATTTTTGATTGGTTTAATAAAGTGATTATTCATTGTCCAACCAATTTTAATTTTTTTATTGATTAATCAAATATAACTATGATAACTAAAAATAAACTCGCACATACTTCAAGTTTTCAACTTAATTTTTTTATTAAATATATAATAATAGTATTTGGATTTTGATAATAATATCGGATGTTTATTGGATTAAAATGGAAATCTAATCCGATTGGATCAGTTCGGTCAGGACCGGTACTAGCCAATTGAATGTTCGGGGCAATATAAAAAAATTAGACCCTTTCGGATTACTATAATTTAAAATTCTCAATTATAAAATATATCGAATGTTAGAAGAGAAACAAACTACCTAAAAGTTTAAACAAAAGTATAAACTACAAAATTACAAAATTAATTTTGTCTGACAAAGTCTTTGTCTGCTCTAAAAATCACAACCAATGTTAGAGTAATTATTTATTTATTTATTTATTTATTTTGTAAACCCTAAAAAAACATTACAAAATTAAAAATTAAAAAAAATATATATATAGGAAGCTCAATAAGGCTAAGGCATTATGAAGAATTCGGTATTCAATTATTCTCCACTTAAATACTTAAACACGACAATTGTTTATTCTCATCATTTTCTATTGGGCAATTCACTGATTTGGTTTCATTTTTCAAACACATAGCAAACAAATCAACCACTTGATGATTTTTACATTTAACTATTTCAGAATCAATACATGTAAACATGAATTACACTATAAGTGGACAATAGACTCCAATCGAAATCGATCGACTGGTGTCTGGTGTGAGTGGTGTCTAATGGAATAGATTATTTTATATACTTAAATCAAATATCTAAGCATCATAGATGAGACAGTTTCCAAGACTATGCAATCATATGATGATGTGATGAGAGCCGAGAAACTAACAAAATCTAGAAAGATAGAGAAATTAAAAGAATGATTACGATAAATGAAAAACAAATTAATTAAGAATTCCTCTTTTTTTGTGTTTAGCAAACGTGTCTTATCATATCCCCAAATCATCTCTAATTTTTTACCTTATTTCTCTTATTGGTTATATAATTTTTTCTTATAGAATTTGAGCAATATAAAAAAATATTATATTTATGGAACATGGGCCCTTAAAAGAGTTGTAAAAGTTTATTGGGTTGAATATAGAGGGTTACGACAATTGTCTCTTGTGTGTACTCTTATGGAGAGTTGCAAAATGAAAGCAGAAAGATTTGAACGCGGGTGAATTTCGTATGCAAAAAACACGCGACGAATTCTTCAGCAAACTAAGCTAAGATTTACTTATGCTCAATTGATATGAATTTTGAATATATATTAATTATATCTATATATATATTAATTATAACAATTTCAATGTTGGGCCCCTGGATTTTGTGAAGCCCGGGGACGGTAGCCCCGATTGCTCCTGCCCAAGACCGGCCCTAGGTTCGGTTATCCATTGGATTTTCAGAATGATCTAATAACCGATCCAATCCAATTGGATTTCGAAGTTTCGCATTCAATCCAATCCAATTGTAATTGGATATCCAATCCAATTGGTTGGTTCGTAATTGGATCGATTAATTTTTGCAAACTCGTAAGTCTTTGGTTAGTATTCTTGTTAGGTGGTATGAGTACTATTTTTAGACAAAACTTCAAAATTGATTTTATGGTTTCTAAAAAGCTGTAGATAAGATCTAAAAAGTTTCTAACTTGCATGAATGCCCAAAATAAGAAATTATGGTGGTTTTGGTCCATTTTGATCCTCGAAAAACTGTTTTACCCTTTTAATTTTTAAAAATTTTTAATACAAATATTAATTACTTTATAATTAAAAAATAAAGAAAATATCGCACCCCTTTATAATCTATCCATCTCTCTCACCCACCCACACACACACACACTCTCTCTCTCTCTATGTGTGCGTGTGACTCTTTTTCTCTTTTTTCTATCTTCTTCCTCTCTTTTCACCTACAATTAAAAAATAAATAAATAAATAAATAAGAAAGAAAGAAACTAGATCGGAGAGGTAAATACATGTCAAAATAGAATAAGAATTAGTAAAGCATTAACATCAAATTACACATAACGTAGCTACAACTAGAAACCTAGAAATTCAGATTGCAACTCTCTCTCATGTTGAAAAACCTTTAAAACCCATTTCCTGACTGTTATTTTCTTCAACTGTTAATCAAATACACACATCCACACAATAAAACATTATTGATTTGTATAAAGAAAGTATTTTCAACTACTTGTATATGAGGATCTCTTCATGTCATCCGATACCCCCTAATTAAATTGATTGAACCCATTTGGCCAAGCTTTCTAAGCATTTCCTCGTAGATAGAACAATAAGGCTCTAAAAACTCGGTTCCTTTAAAGCCCATTTGAAGGCGTTAAGAACAGAATGTTCATCTTTTTCACTATGCAGGATACCAATAAGTTATTTTCTGTGGGTTGTAACTTGAACCAGAAGAAAAAACCATTTAAATTATTCAAATCAACTTAGACACCTTAAATTATACAATGATTGTGTACATGCATATTAATAAAAAATCATTTAGGCAATTCAACATACACTTGGCGGGCAACTACAAATTCTTAGTTTTTTTTTTCAAAAAAGGAAAACCCTTTAAGGAACCCAGTTAAATAAACTTACAAAGACGAAGTAACAAACACGATTACACTTGGTGGGTAGCTATTATGATCGAGAGAGGGATATATATATATATATATATATATATATATATATATATATATATATATATATATAGAGAGAGAGAGAGAGAGAGAGAGAGAGAGACCATGTTCAAAATGTATGTGTAACATCCCAAAATTTACGACCAAAATTTTCATTTTTAATATAACAATTATAAAACCATTTGTATGAAAACAACCATAGTATCAATTCATATCAAAACCAAAGTATCAATAGTCAAAACATGTCATGATAAAACAACATCAGAGTATAAATCTCAAAGATCTCCTATGCGGAAAATGTAGTGTGATGCACTGCGATCATGCCGACTCTTTTCCCTTCGAAGAGGATGTACCTGAAACCAAAACTGAAAACTGTAAGTACAAAGCTTAGAGAGTTCCCCCATCATACTACATACCACGTTGTGGCCTCTCGCCTTGAATCACCAACTCTCCCCCACTTGGGGTCTTGACACGAAACAAATGTTGCTCACAGTCGATCACCGCCCCATTGGGGCTTAACCAATACATTCCTATGATGACCTTGTTTCTAAACAAAGGTATGGGAAACAAATCCATGAGGTAACGCTCCTCATATATCCTCAAGATACAATCTCTGTAAACCTCTGAGGCCCGGACGGATCGATCGTTCACAATCTCGACCTGTAAGGGACAATCCAACATGCCTGAAGACTAGGAAAACCTCTTGCTGAGTGCAAGAGATATGAATGATCGGGTAGCCCCCGAGTCAAATAACACCTGTATTGGGATGTCATTCACATGGAATGATCCTAAACAAACCACATAGAAGATAAATATCAAAACTGACATGTAATAAAAGTTAGGGAGAAGAAACATACCCGTCACCACATCCGGTGTGGCACGCGTCTCCTCGGCGGTCAGCTGGAAGCCTCAGCTCCTCACCACTGGAGCATCTGTCTTTCCTTGTCGGCCATCCATAATCTGTAGGGTCGCTGGAGATGGCGCTACCACTGGTGTTGTTGATACCAATCTCGGGGAGTTGGCCTTTTTATGGCCCTTCTGATTGCAATGGAAGCAAATCAGGTCTGATGTCTGAAGGGTGGGGGTAGGGTAGTACAATCCCTGCTAGAGTTCCCAAGCTTGCCGCACTTATAACAGCCCAATCCTCCTTATCTACAAACTCCGTCATGCGTCTTTCGACATTTCCCACAGCCGCTCCGACCCTGTTGGCCCTTTGACCTAGAGTTGAATCCATTGGGTTTCTTCCCAGAAACCCTCGTCATCTACCCAATCTCCGCCTTCCTCTTCCTAATGTGTTCTATATCAATCTCCCTCTCCCTCTCCCTTGCTATCATGTCATCCAAAGTTAGGCATGCCGAGTAGCTGTCATATTTTTGAATGTCAGCTCTCAAAATGTCATGGTACCAAGTTTTCTTCATCTCCTCATCGCTCGCGTACCAAGTAAGGCCTTCTCCTTGAACTTGGCGGTAATCTCCATCACTGACTCAATAGTCTGTCTCATATCCAAGAACTCCCTAGCTAGCTACTAGATCTCCACAGTCGATGCAAACTCGGCTTGAAATCTGTTCACAAAGTTTGACCACTTCATAGCCTCAATGGTTGGGGCTCCCAACATATCACTGATTGCCTTCTACCAGTCTCTAGTCCACTCTCTATAACAACCAACAACAAACCTGACCTTTGACCCCTCAAGGTAGAAGCTCGTCACCTACACAAACTCAATGTTTGCAATCCATCATCTTGACATAATGGGGTCCTTCACCCCGCTGACGTCTGGCACCCCGCCTCCCCTGAAATCCTTGAAGGAGAGTGTGTGAGTCCCTGACTGGGCAGGTGCCATGTCACTCCTAAATGCCCTAAGGCGATCCTCCATCAGCTCAATGATACCCTCCTTGATCGACCCAAAAATCACCAGGTCGCCTCAAGGAAGCCTCTCGTAATCTCAGATGCAATGAACTCGCGT